AAATGGGGCCCAATATTGCAAGAGTCTCCACTCGGAAAGTAGATGTGACCTTGGGATTCAGCTGAACCAACTTAAAGTACAACCTTGGGGAAAAATAAGTAGTTAACCACCTTTTTCTCTGGGGGTGAAGAGAAAGAGCAAAGAGCTCAGGTGCTGTGACAGGCACGACACATGGGGAGAGGTGTTTGCTACACCTTGAGTAAATGTCTCCAGCTGCTCCTGCCAAGGGTACAAGAAAGATCCTCTCCTGACCCTGTGGCATTGCTGCATTTCTTGCTGCAGCACCAAAGGGCAGCAATAAAAATTATAGATGCATCAGACACCTCTGGGTTGGAGTTAGTCTTGTAATTGTTAAACAAAGGCTGAAAGTTTATATGCTGAGTTTCACAGGCCTCTGGTCACAGATCAGCATTTAGCAGCAAGGAGAATTAACCTGGAAAATGTCAAGGCAGCAAAAAGCTCTGTGCATGGAACTATTTCATGCTGATACATGAGGCAGCTCGTAGGCAGGACAGGTTGTAAAGCTTCAAAAATAATGTTTCTCTTTTCCAAAATAAACAATCCCTAAAATTGAAGTGCTTCAGGCTACAAAGGAAACCAGCCAGGTTGTTTACCACATACTGCAGGAATCCTGCTCAGGGCAAATCAGCTGCAGAGCAAATGAAAGCAAAGCTCAAGGAGGCAGGAGGTGATTTCTTTTCTGTCTTTAGATGGGAACCTACCTCAGTCTGCCAGGGAACAGATCCAAGCTCCTACCTGGGTAATAACAATGCTTCTCCCTGTTATACAGCACTTTTATAGTTGTAGAACTGTGAAAAGCATTGGGAACAAGGAGGTTTAAGGGAAAGTGCAGAGCAAAGTGTCTGTGAGTACAACAAGTCTGAGGCAGATCTGGAAGAACCACACAGCAATCCCATGACCTATTTACTGCACTGTTCCACAACTCAGACACAGATTTGCAGGATGCTCATCACTGAGCAGGCTACACCTGAGGCAGCAAGAAAAGCCTGTCCAGCAAACCCCCATCAGTGCCATGCCTGGCTCCTGATTGCCCAAATTTAACACTTTAACACCCTTAAAATCTACTTCTGTGCCAGGCCATTCATATTGCCTAACTTCACTGAAGTAATTCACCCAGGCCTAACCAAGAGGATCTGTGGGACTACTCAGAAGAACTAAAACAAACCAAAACATTTCACCTCAAAGAAATGAAGAAGAGATGTTATTTCCTGTCCATGCTGTGAACAGGAGGATTTGCCCTGCACACAGCACTGGGTAACACAGGTCCAGCCTCACTGGAGTGGGAACAGGCTGCTGCTGAGGCTGGATGTGCTCCATACTGCTGCCAGTTGGGTTAAAAATCAACTGCCTTCAGCAAATATCCCACCAAGGCATCAACCACACAGCACTCCAGTGCTCCTGTTACTCTTACACCTATAACAGCTATTCTGCAGCTCTAATGAACCTTCTTAAAAGCTCTTTATTAACTACTAAGCTTTGGAACACTTTGTTACTGATGGGTAAGAGTGAGGAAGGAGATGCTACTCACTAAGGCCTTTCTTTTGTAGAGACTGAATGCAGCTCAAGCTTTCTTAAACTTCCAGAAACTGCTCTTACTGCACTGCTGGTTTTTGCTGGTCCCAGTGCCCTGCAGCTCTTTTTGCTGTCAGCTCTGCCACACAGTCCTTGAGGAGGCAAGAGACCAAAAGGAAAGCTGAAGGAGTCATCTTAAAGGAATCCAAATCATACATTCCCCTCCCTGCCCAGGCACTCAGTATCTTTCATAAAGTCATTTCTAACACATTATATATATATTTGATTCAAAGCTTTTAAGTTCTAGTCTTTTTTTCCCCTCCCTCTTGCAGTATAAAGCACTGGTAACTTGAGACCTGGCACTGCTCTGTTCTTGTAAGGGATTCTCAATAGCTATAGAAATTTATCCCACATATGACCCTGAAGTTTTATTTAGGATGATCTCTGCAATAGGTGACAGATCTTTGTATTTCATGGGCCATTTAATCTTCAGCTTCACCAGAACTATTTAGGCTGCTGGTGAATTAGAAATAGAGACTTTATGGAACTGAAACAGATTTAATGGCAGAGCATTAGAAACTTTCACACAGGCCACTGAACAGCCAAGAGGATACAACTTCTAGTAACCACTTACCTTAGGTAGGAGTAGGAATAAAAACCCTGAAGAGCTTATTTTATTTGATTAGTGGTTCAGCTTCTTCCAGGCAGTAGCTCCCTCCAAAGTGTTGCTGTGCCTCCAGCTCACATGTTCTGTTACTCCAAGGTTTATTTTAGGACCTGGAGAATCAAACTCAAGGCCTCTGTGAATGGTGGAATCTCATTTTCATTTACAACAGGCCACACTCCCAGACACAACTACTACAGCAACTGTGGGGAAAGATGAAGAGGATCTGATTCAGGTCTGAATCTTCTCCTCAAGCTCTGGGAAACACACTGTGTTATGAGAGGTAAACAGAAGTACAACAGCACATTTTGAACATCTAAAGGCACAGGTCTCCCAAAAAAAACCACCCAGAGAGTGAGTGCTTTTTTGGGAAATGACTCCAAAGCTCTTACACTATCTCAGTGAATGCCTCAAGCACTATCTGGTTGGTAGTTGGACTATACAAACTTTTCTTCTCACAAACATATTTCAAATTAGATCTATACTCACCTCTAAAAATCAGCAGATTTCTTAGTTTTATTAGCAATGGTTTGCTTGAAAAGGCAAAAGCACAAAGGTAAAGCTAGAGAAACAGTAAGTCCACCACAGTGATGTGCTGTGTTTGGATTTCTCTACCTTCCAGCTAATCCAGAATCCACAGCTGGAATAGGGATTTCATTCTCACAGCAAGAAGACAAACACTTAGAAACACAACTCAAAGGAAATACTGGAAAACTCTCTTTGCTTTCTGCCTCATTTATATAGGAATTCTTTATTATAAACCTTCCAGCCCTGGGTGAGAGTTAAGACATCACCAGTGGGGAGGGCAGAGCACACAGGGCACAACCAGGCACAAATATGTTCAAGAGACAACAGCTCCTCCAGTTTCTGAATCATTGGCTTTTTTTCAGCATATTCTTCTCAACACATTACTCCAGACCCCAAAGTGTGGAGCCTACATGGAAGTCTTTCACAAAGGTGAAGCAAAGTGGTTTCCATTTGGCAGTTTAACAGTGTAATAAATCAATAAGAAACAAGAGTAGCTATTAAAAACTGTATTTTCCCTCCCCCCAACAGTTACATTTCTTTTAGTGAAAAGATTAAACCACATAAACACTTCACTTTTACATTACTCCAGACCCCAAAGTGTGGAGCCTACATGGAAGTCTTTCACAAAGGTGAAGCAAAGTGGTTTCCATTTGGCAGTTTAACAGTGTAATAAATCAATAAGAAACAAGAGTAGCTATTAAAAACTGTATTTTCCCTCCCCCCAACAGTTACATTTCTTTTAGTGAAAAGATTAAACCACATAAACACTTCACTTTTCTTCTAGAAAAGCCAGCTCAGGATAGGAATGCCACAGATACACACGGAGGACAGTGACAGGCACCACAATCAGCCCATTCACTCCAGACAGCAGCCAGAAACACAGGAACCCCCTCCAGTTAACCCTCCAGGGCTGCCCCTTGCACCAGTGTTAACAGGAAAGTGCCTCCTGGGCAACCAGGTCCAAATTTCAGGAATCTTTAGGGCTCATTCCACGTTGATTTTAATAAATTTCTTATCTGGCCCCAACAAACAGGGGTAAAGGATTTACTTTCACAATGAACTTTACAAAGCTGCAACTGAATCAAAAGCTTTTTCATGACTAGGTGTGCAGTTGTTCTCATTACACAGTATTTATTTGCTCCAGATAATTTCCTCCTTGTGCTCACAAGTCCATTCTTCCTTTGCATACAGTCCATGGTTTCTCTCCAGCCTTTCCCCCATTCTGAGACCACAAGAGCATCCTGTCAGCAGAATTTCTTGCCATGAAAATGGTCATGTTGTCACAGTCAGGTTCTAGAATTGGTACTGCAAATAATTAACACCCAACAGAGAAAGGAACCAGGAACAGGTGAATGGAGTTCAGCTTTAATAAGGTTCTGAAACATCTCCAAGTCAGTGCAACCCACAGCAAAATCCAGAAGTTGTGTAAAAACGACCTGCACACATGAGAGAAGATGAAGTGCTTGGGTTTAGGCAGCAGTGCTAGAGACTGTGTGCAGAGTCCTGAACAGTCAGTGCACTTCAGGAGTTTCACTGCAGGTTCTCAGTCTGTCAGTGTGTGTGTGTCTGTGGTTTAAGGCTCTGCAGCTACAGAGAGAGTAAACCTGAGAGTGTCACCTGGACACTCAGTGTTGGACAGCTCAATGCACAGCTACTGCCTCTGGGAACAGTGCCTAAAGAAAATGGGATTATCTCAGGATCCAGGTAACTTCCCTACCACCAAACAGCTGCAAGGAGGCAAACCATGTACAGTTCCTCTAGTGACTAGAAACTTAGTTATCAAAGCCCAGTGCAAGCTGGCTTTAAGTTAATGATCACTAATTTTTGCTGATGTGAGAGCTAGCCTTGTGCAGCAATCAAGGGTTAAAGTGGAACTCTATGTAGTCTTTGAAACGAGCTCACATATTCTCTATACAAATTTGGCAAATTCATGTCACAGCCACAGATCTCACTCTTGCAATTCCTGCAAAACACCTACAGCTCCTCTGTCAGAAGCAAAGAGAGAAGCCACCTGAGCAGCCAGGTGTGCCAGGGGCTCATGGCACAGCCCCCTCAGCAGCCCAGAAGGGCTCTGTGTTCCAGCCTAACAGGTAGACTTTATTGAACCTAATCTGCTTTTGACACAAGCTCCCAAAAGAGCTCGAGGCCACAGAGCAGCTGAGCATGGAAAAACTGATTGCATCAGAGACACTGCAGCCAGTAGGAAATCAAACACATGATGCCAAAAGCCAATCCAAACCCCAAAACAACCCCCCAAAAGCAAGTGTTTATATGTGTGTACATGTAATAAATATTGCAAAGCACATTTGTCTTCTTCCCCTCCCCGAGTCAGTAAGTATAAAGAAAGAACCAATGCACCAAAACATCAGCTTCCTGCAATGAAAGTGTTGGAGTCAGCAAAATACCTGCAAGCCAACTGAAGGGAAAGCATTTGCATTGTCAACCAATCACAAGTTGCTTCCAGTTCTATGCAGCCAAATCAAACCCTCTTCAAATTCACAAGTTTGACCTAAATAAGCACCACAGCATGAAAAGCTTCTTTAGAAGTAGGATGTCAAGAGACTTACTTTAAAATAGAAAATAAAATGTGAGAGAAAAGGTTTCCATTGGTCAAGTTTGAAAAATTGCCTTCCTTTAGCCAACCACAGCCTGTCCCTTTGAGCCAACCAAAAATACACCTTTAGCTTTGCCCTGAATGAACACAGCCCTGCTGAGCAGCAAAATCTGACAGGAATAGATGGCTGTGAGATGCATTCGGAGGGTTGGGCAAAGGGAAACAACATTACAAAGGAGAAGGAATACCAAGGAACAATTAGGGTGGGCAAAGGAACTTAGTAACGCTCAGCCATCCTCCTCTATCTTCAGGAATCTCACTGTCCTCTCCAGCTCTGTGTTGTTCAGGTGTCCTGTAGTTACTGTCTTCTGTCTTCTGTCTCTGATCTGGAAAATGCCATCACAACATCCTCAGCACCTGCAATAACAAAGGATACAGGAAAATATGTGCCATAATTACTTCCTTCAGAGAACAGTGCAGAGATGCAGTACCCAAACTGTCATTCTGCACAGCCAGAAAGTCAACAGGAAAGCAAAAAGAGGACAGAGAGAAGAGAAAGATGCAATTTCTTATTCTTCCAGGGAGTGGAATTTGAACGTTTCGGCCGTTGATTTAAAGTGTTCCTTTGCAAGCCTAAGGAAATGAGTTTGTTCTAAAGAAACCCAAGAATTCCTTGCTTTCATATATTCCTAGGAAGCAAGACTTAGAATGTACACAGACATGCAGAGATACTTTTCCCTTTGCCTCGTAAACTCCAGCACTGGATAAGAAATGTACTGAACTTCTTTGAGGTATGAGGACTTCAAGTGACATTTAGGTATCCTTTACTATATCTTTGCATTTTGTTATTCATTACTCTTTGCTTTTAAAGAGCAAAATCTTGGTTTAACAGGCCAGCTGAAAAGTTGGTGCTGAAAAATCACTTAAACACCCTTTTTAAACTAACATGACTTAAAAATATTCCATTCTCTAATAGAAGTGCAGGACTTTTTTTTCAATCTGAAGGCTTTCATCTGCCCAGGAAAGAGATACAGCTCTGCTAAGCAAAGCTTTCATCCCTAGCCTGCAGAAATCTCTTCCAGAAGAATTCAGTGTTTGGACTTTCTCAGTTATAGGATTATTTTTATTTTCCATTGAAGCTATCAACTGTGTATAATTGCCATCAAAACTCACGTCCCCCAAGCACAGAAAGATGTTAATTACCTTCCTATAACCATCTCCAAGACTTTGCAAACTTGTGTGGCCTTTCAAGAGGACATATACTGCAGACAGTCCTGAACAGCTGAAGAAACACATCTGATAAAGGCTGGTAAAGAACTCTCCATGCTGACTTCATCCTTCCAAAAGATACCTGGAGACCCTCAGAACAGAGATCTGCTCCCTGGATCCCCTAACTACAGAGTGTGGCCCAACAGGCACTTGCAGAGAAATGTCTTCAGGACATTATGGAAATAAAAGTACATCACAGAGCAGTGTCAAAGCAGTGGATTAAATCAGCATCTCTAGTCTAGACAAGAACTGGAAAACAACCCTGAAGGGCTGAATGCAATATTTTTTAATTCCTGGGAAAAATTTGATCCCCAAGAAAGTCAGATAAAAGGAAAATGTTTCTTTCATCTGCAGATCCTCTAAGAGCATTTCTCTGACTAGAAAACATGATGAATATTCCAGTCACTGTTTGTATAATGTCTAAAACTTGTGTCCCCACTCAGGTGATCCCAAAGTGTTGAGGTACAACAGTGACCACACTTGGCCTTCAGAAACTATTTTGGTCTGCTCGGGATAATTTTGCTTAACAAGTTTTTCTTCAAAGCTTCTATTAAGGGATTAAATGACAAACTAGGAAATGCCAAAAGCAACACCAACTGCCTGTCCCAGTCAGGTAACTGATCAGCTCGGCAGAATCCTCTTACAGGGCCTTGGAAAGTTCAGATTCAGCTCAGAGAGAGCATCAGCAAGGAAAAATTCTCCAGTCTTCCTGAAGCATATCAAGAAGGAGGATCTCTGCTTTGTGCCCCAAGCAACTTCTGCCTATACACCTGCACACAGGCTAAAGGAGGACTAATAAAAATTCCTCATATGTGAATCCCATTTCTCAGTGCTCCAATCTGCTCTTTAGTCTCAAAACAGCAGGAAAAGTGGCCAAAAATGGTTGTAAATTCCCCTCGCTAATGTCCTTAAAAGCCAAATCAATGTCTATGAAATGCAACTACATTTACTTTTACACACTTCACAATTTATTTGTTATATGCACTCAAAGGAGGAAACATGAAGGACCAAGCAGCAGTTTGTTTTTCATATGTAGGACCCTTATCTTATATAAAGCTACATCAAAAACTGCTCTGCTGCACCCTGTTGCCAGCACTCAGCAGCCCTGCAGTCATCTCCCTTTTCATCTCCTCCACCAACTGTTTTTTTCCTTGATCAAAACAGAAATGATATATTGCACCAGGATCCAGCTCAGAATTAACAAGTTGCTTTGTTGATTTTAAGTGCATAAGAACTACCAACTCTACAAAAAGAATTGTGAGAAACACATTGGTAAAAAAAAAAAAAAAAAAAAAAGAGGAGGACTGATATTTAGCAGCAGTAACAAAACAAGGGCAGATCCAGCCCAACCTCTGCACTGTGTTTTCCATGCATTCCCGTGGAAGTGGAGGAGGCTGGAGCAGCAGCTGGAGTCTCCTAGCAACCACAAAATCACAGACGACGTCACACCAGCACAGGGATGAGCTGATTACTTAACAGATGTTGATTGTTTTCCTGGGGTCTCCCCTTTGAGGGTCTAAATAGGAACAAACTCTTCCAAGCATCCTTACAGTCCCCTGCGGAATGGGAAGCTTCATTCCAGATCATCCCACCACCCCATAACCACACAGGTCTGTGTTCCTGCCCTGCAATCCCAGCTCTCAGCACCGTTCCCAGGCACAGCACAGCCCTTTCAAGCACATGATGAGCAGAAATAGCTTTGGGCACAGGGGATGTCGGGAATGCTGCTGCTCCTTTCGGCTCACACAGGCAGCACAGGCACTGCTGAGAGCAGAGCCACCCTCAGCTCCCACTCCCATCTCCTGGGCTCACCTGGCACAGCTTCAACACCAGTGTCACTGTCCATATGACCTTCTGACACTGTGACATTTCCCTGGACTTTGAATGGGAGAGAAGGGAGTACAGGAAATCCAGTTTGTTAGTGCAATAGAACACTGAAAAAAAAGCTAAATATCAAGCCCATATTCTATCAAAAAGAAAAAGTGAGAGTGCAATAAAGAATAGAGTGTGAAAGTGTAGAAAATGCTTGAATAGCTATAGGATTGCTGAATTATTATGTGCATCCTAAAGCAAGTAGAACAGTGGATGGAGAATGGGTCTGGAACTCAAGATTTCACAGCCAAAACTAACCACCCTCATTGTGCAGGACCCTTGTTTTACCACCAATGCAATCACAGTAACTGAAGTATATTTACCACCAATGCAATCACAGTAACTGCAGGTATGAAGTACCCTGAACCTGTGAACAAAGTAGCTTTTAAAATCAGTTTCACAGTTTACTAGTATGTTAAGGGGTTGGGATGGAGCTTAGAGACCATCCAGCCCCAACCCCCTGCCCTGGGCAGGGACACCTCCCACCAGACCAGGCTGCTCAAGGCTTTATCCAGCCTGGCCTTGAACACTGCCAGGGTTGGGGCAGCCACAGCCTCACTGGGCAACCTGTGCCAGTGTCTCACCACCCTCACAGGGAAAACTTCTTCCTAATATCTAACCTAAATTTCCCTCTTTCAATTTCTCCCCATTACTCCTTGTTTTGTCCCTGCAGTTCCTAACAAAGATCCCTCTCCAGCTTCCCTGGAGCCCCTTCAGACACTGGAAATCACACCACCATCCAAAAGCATCTTCCCTCCCCGATGCTCTTCAGCACTATATAATACAGACCTTCCCACATGGTACTTGTTAAATGGAGCTGAGCACTCAGTACAAGAACCAAGGTGGGTAAACAACTCCTTAAGGAAAGATTATGGATTGTGTTGGAAAGGGAAATCACTGGGACAAAAGCACTTTCTGAGTGCTTGGCCTTTGCACCAATTTTACTTCATACCTTCACAAATGAACCTGGAACTGAAAAGTAATGAAACTAATGAAAGCTGATGGCAATACAAAGTTAAAAAGTGCTGCCAAAACACCAGGGAGCAGTGAAACAACAATCCACAGGAAGGAACAGACCAGGGGTGGCAGAAGGGGTTTAGCTATTCAGTTTAGAAAGGAAGAAAAGAAGGATAAAGAGTAGAAGTGATGTATTTCTCTGCCTCTTGGTACAGTTTTAAGCAAGATTAGTAAAGAATGGATTTTATACCCAATTCTGAAGAGCTTTATTTCCTGCTCCCTCCTCAGTTCCTTTTGTTATTTGGTAGAACCACCAATGTTTTCATCTGCAGCAATCACATGCAACTCAGCATTTGCAAGAGCCTCAGGCAATTGCCTTTAAAAAAACAATTTGATCTATCAAATAAGAGATAACAATATCTTCCAGGCAGATAAGTAAGTGGGTGGGTAACCTGAGGGCACAACACCCAACAGAAAACATCTTGCAGTAAAGGCTCAACCTATGCTCATTTCTTTTATCCCCACATTAAAGACCAAATTCTACCCTTAGTGAGGTGGTAATTATCACAAGGAGGAAGACAAACTTTGTGCAAACAGCAGCAGCCACGCAAAGTTCTTACAGGCTGTCAGACCTGATGCTGGATGGGCAGTGAGGAAAATGCAATGGACACTCATCAAAGCTTCCAACCTTCCAGAAGTCACTGGTGGAACATGGCTCTGTCTGAAAATGTCCTGTGGCAGAAGAACCTGGGTGACATTTGTCCAGAAGAAGGACATCCACGTGCACATTTCTCAGCACAAAAGCGAGTTTTGTTCAAGCTCAGTCCTACAACCCGAAGCACCCAGAGCTAAATGACACCAAGCTAACGAGGCTGCTCATTAAGCAATTCTCCTGTGCTCACGTACAAACACTGCCAGAGAACAGAGCTGGGGCTTCCATGTGGTGAAAGGCAAGCAGGGATTAAAGTACTAGTGAACAGAGCTGCTCCTGCAGCCCCACTTGGCTCCCACAACGGATGTTTTCCTCCTAATCAAGTGAAAGAAATGCAAGAAGCAGAGCACAGGTTATAAAGTTAAGCTGCACATGGCCAAAAGCCTTTGCCTGAGACAATGGGATTGTGAACCACATTTACTTTTAGCACATCCTTCACTGAGCTCTGCACTTCCAGTAATTAATGTATAGAACAATGACAAAGGCACAGGTACAACCTGACCTTTGCATCCAGCCAGCTTCTCCCCACAGCTGGCCCTTTTCTGGGCACATCCCTCACTGAAACAGAGGCTGACACATGTACCCAAGGAAATATTCCCCATCTTCT